CCGTTTCCTCAAGAACGTGGAGTTTTTCAAGCCGCCCCTCAGCTGTAGGGGCGACTCTTTTTTTTTATTGAAAAAGTTTTTCAAATACAAATTTCCCCCCTTTTTTTCCCTCCTCCCTAACCCCCCCTCCCCCTCCCCTCCCCCTGTGGCTTCTCCAAAATAAAATCCAAATTCATAACAGATTATATAATACTTTACCATCCCTTTACTCCACCCCCCCATACGCTGACCCTTTCTTTCTAATAATATTATTATATCCCCCTTATACTATACATTTCAAAATAACATTCAACTGTAACATTATATAATAACTCCTAATTTAGCATAATAATATTATTATATCCCCCAGTTTAGCAATTTCTACTCATAATCTACCCTTTTCCTCCTCCCCCATACATATATCTCTTAATTCAAATCTTTTATATATATTAGTATAACATTTCAAAGCAACCTTAAACTATAAAACTATATAATAAATCCTAATCTGACATTTATTCAACTCATAGTCTGCCCATTTCCTCCACCCCCATACATATATCTCTTAACTCAAATCTTTTACATGTATTCATATCTAAACATAATATCCCTTTTCTTAAACTAAACAATCAATAAGCTAACCTGTCTCCACCCACTTTCCTACAGGACTACCATACATAATAATTTTTAATATCTTTATTCATCTGCCCACACCACTAAGAAGTATTCCCTTATATAAATAAAATCCTCAAATGACTTTAAGCTTGTAATCCATATGATATCTTCTGTAATGTCTTTCAGCTGGATTGTTAACTCCATCACCCATGTTAGGGTAACATCACATCCTAATTCCAACAGTATGTTCGGTATCTTCAATTACCATCTGCCCCCATCAATAGTAGATGTCTTCATATATAAAAAAACCACCCGAGTGACTTTATATTTGTATTCCATATAGTGTCTATTGTAATGTCTTTCATCTAAATTATTAATTCCAACCATCGTAATAGGGTAACAACCAGATCTTCTGCGTGCCCCAATCCCATAACTCTCTTGCCTTGTAACTCAGCATAAACGTAATACATTTATCAAAGAATCCAAAATAGATAGTTCCAATCCATTCAGTTTAAGGCCATTTTCACATCCCAAAAGTACAGCACTGCAGAGGTCTGTCATTCTCCTCAAGATAATATAAACCAATACTTTGCTATATTTTCATGTATTCAATCTTCTCTTAGATAACTGGCATTACACTGTTGTTTAGTCTAAAAGTTTTTATTTTTGTAAGACCTGCTTCTTCTTTTCTTGACTTTTTGTGGGTTAGATCTCCATCCTGGTTTCCTTTCTGTAAGTTGTATATCAACTGTTTGGTTTCCATGCTGATCTATAACTTGATCTTGTTGGTTTTGCTTTTGTGGCATAGATCTTCATTCTGGTTTCTTTTCTATGAGTTGTATATCAACTGATTGATTTCCATGCTAGTCTGTTACTTGATAAGTCATCACATTAGAATCCAAAGCCGCCTCTCTTGTATTTATAAATAGTCCAGTTGAGACCTCTGAAGGAGAATCCAGAAGCGGCTCATCTACAAAGACCTCTGTAACTTGTTGTTTTTCCATTACTTCCACCTCCATCTGCTTATCCTGAATTTCTATCTCTTGTTGATTTTGCTTTTCTTTATTCCACTCATATATTATACATGGAGATGTTGAACCCATTTTGAGAATCTTATAGTAAAATTCTTCCGCTTTTTCAACAGTATTTAGTTGATATCTTTCTCCTTGATATCTCAATATTATACCAACTGGAGCATCCCACCTGAATGAGATGTTTTGTTTCTTTAGCTCAGTCACCAAAAAACCAAATTTCTTTCTGTCTTTTAACATCTTGGGCGGCAACTCTTTATATATCCAGATCTTTCTTCCATTCAGTTGTAGAGTAGAATTAAAGGATTTTTGCACAATAGCATTTCTTATTCCTTTATCTGTAAAGTAAATCACCACATCTCTAGGCAGTTGCCTTTGCTTTGCAATCCAAGAATTTACTCTATAGGCCTTGTCAATCTTACAAGATACCTCCTCAGGATGAACCTTTAAAATCCCAGCCAGAACTTCAGCAGATATTTTTCTTAAATCATCTCTATTATTTTCCTGTAAGCCTCTCATTCTAACCGCAAATTCCGTGAGCCTGTATTGCATCATTGTAACTTCTTTTTCAATCCCTTGTTTTATGTTTTCTGCATTGTAAGTCTCGTGATCAGCTTCCTTTTTAGACTTTACTTCTGAGCTATTATCTTGAATATTTATCAAATCATTTTCAATTCTTTGTATTTTATTATCCAAATTATAAATCTTATCATCAACTTCCTCCATTTTAGACTCTAATAACTTGATATTTTTATCCATCTTTATGACTATTTCTGAAAAAGCATTAGTCACTGTTACAATCTTTCGTTGCAAATTATCATACTTTAGTTGTATCAATTCTTTAATTTCCTGCCTAAATTTTTCAAGATTCTGGTTCACAATCTCATCATGTCTTGCCATTTCCTCCAAAACAAATTCTTTTAGGTTAAAACCATTCTTCTGAGTCTGCAAGTTCGAAACTTGTTCACATAGTTTGTAAATGGGGGAACTCCCCCCCCCGCTGCTTGTTTGTCTGGCTTTGTTAGTTTAGACGCCATCCTGCCACACAGACAAACTCTTTTTAAAGAAAAGGACTTCTCTCCAGACAATATCAATATCAAATCTCCAAGAAGAAAGAAACATAAAGTAGAAATTTTTCTTTTCAATTCTAGCCAGCGCTATTATTTCTGCTACTTTGTAGCTTGTTAAACTATTCAGGCGGAAGGACTTTCACTTTCAGCTTTCTTCTTCTCAAGCCTCAGCTAGTCGCCATTTTAAACTTTTTTTCCTTCGCTTTTAAAATCGCTTATAAAATTGTTAGAAATACTTGCGATTTAGGGTCCAGAGTCCAGATCTCATCCTCTTTGTTTAAACAATCTGTTAGTTCTCAGTAAATGGCTTGGTCCTGTCGCCTAGCTCTGCAAAAAGCAGAGTTCTCCTGAAGCCCGGAGCAGCGGCAAGGAAAAGAGTCCCCAAGAGTAAAACAAAAACTCTGGGGACTTCGCAGAGGGCTCTACCTGCCCTCGCCTGCTCTGTCTCACATTTCCTTAAGGAAATTGAGTTTTTCGAGCCGCCTTTCAGATGTAAAGGCGGCTCTTTATGACCGGGGCTGGCGGTCTCAAAGGACCGTCTGACGGCGATGGAAGCCAAACCCCGCCCCCCCTGTAGAGGCGACTCTTTACGGGCGGCGGGGCTGGCGGTCTTAAAAAGACCGTCTAGCAATGACGGTGGCGCCAACAGGAAGTGATTTTAAATTTAATAACAGCAGCCAGACTTTTGGTGGCACAGTATTGGAAGAAGGAAGACTTACCTACTATTGAAGAATGGACATTAAAAGTAGTGAATTTAGCAGAGATGGCAAAAATTTCGGCATACCTGAAGGACCATTCAAATGAAAGATATATATCAGAATGGAGAAGATGGATTGACTATATTCAAAACAAATATTGACTAAAAAGTTTCAAATAGCTTATGAGTGAAACCAACTTTTTTTTTTTTTTGAATTATGTTTTGTTAATTGAAAGGGGAGTTAAAGAACAAGAGGGAGTTTGGAGCCTACAGAAAGTTAGCATATTTTAGTTTATGTTTGTTAAATGTTATACCCTGTATTTGCTCTGGGAAGTCCAGGATGGGTGGGTGGGGGGAGGGGGGGTTGGAGGGAGAGGGGGGATGAGGGATGGGGGGTGGATGGAGGAGGGAAGGGGGGGCAGGAGGGATGGGAAAAAATTGTTGTAATACTTGATGAAACGTTTTAATAATAATAAAAAAAAGAATGGCCCTGTAACACCATTGTGAGCTGCATGGTTGTTGGTCTGCTTCTGGATGCAATTCAGGGTGTGGGTGAATTGCACCAATTACACGTTTAAAGTCCTTTGTGAATTATTCCAGCTGGCGGTGTCCAGGAGAAGGGCCTTCTTTGCTGTTGCTCCTGTCCTTTGGAACATCTTGCCCTCAATGTGAGATTGGACACAAAAGTCTAAAGACCTGGCTCTGCCAGTTGGCCTAGGGCCTCAATGGAAGAACAACACTGTGGAAGAAGTTGATTGAGTAATAGATCCTACCTCTCCCTCCATTCCACCCTCACAGAGATGTAAAAGGAGCACCCAATTGGGTGTTCCTGGACAATGGTGATATCATCATTCAATCCTTTCAATCCGAAAGTGCTTCAGCACTCTCAACACAACACTATAGTGGTATTTCAAAGGATAAGGCCCCAATTATGTCCATTAGCACTGTCAAAATCTACTGTATTTCCTCCCGATCTGAGACCTTTGTACATCAAATGCTATAAGAATTTTTCCCAGCAGCCTATCAGATGGTTTGGGTGAACAAAATCATCTCTAGAAGGAAGTAAGCTACCTTTAAAAGAATTGCCTCCTTCCTAGAAGAGAAATCACCTAACCCAAGATCTCCTGGTTTCCAGCCTAATGCCTTAACCAGTATTCTAAACTGGCTCTCTCTGAACTGATAGAACTATTTTTTTAAAAAATTAATTTTTTTTAAAAAAAAAATAGTAATTACTATTAAGTTATCCTCTACCATCCCCCTGAAACCATTTAAGCTGACGTTGACTGCTTCAGTGACTCCATCCAGCCATCTCATTCTCTGCCGTCCCCTTCTTTTGCCCTCAATTGTTCACAGCATTACGCTCTTCTCATTTGAGTCCTTCCTTCTCATTAAGTGGCCAAAGTATTTCAGGGGGATGGTAGAGGACAGGAAGGCCTGGGGTCGTGATGGGTTGGACACGATGTCACAACTAACAACAACATTAAGTTATCAATGGTTAAAATGGTTTTCAATCTATTAAAGGTTCCTGAGATCCAAAAGGAAAAAAGAGGTTACATCTCTTTGTACCAATATGCTTCATCTAAATTAAAAGAAAAATAATACTTTACTTACCAGCTTCAATGCATTCAGGAGTCAAGCAATATTGTTGCTTTGCATGAAATTTGATGTGTCCTTGACTAACTGCAAAAGGAAAAGAACAACATTGTGGCCATCTTTGTCTCAACAAATATTTTTCATGAATCTAAAGACATTAGTTGGGTGATTTTGGCAATGCTGGTACAGAAGGAAAAGATGTCCATCTGTTGATACAATACCTTCCTCAAAACAGAAAATATTTTTGTATATTATCAACACTTGTTCACTCACCACACCAGTTTGACTCAGAAACAACACCTATGAATCTTTTTATTACTAAATGGGGAAATAGGTTAAGGTGAGGCAGAGAAACTATGGTTGATAGGGTTTTGAACCTGATCTCCCTCCTGATTCAATCATTGTATGCCTGTGTGTCAACAGATCCTCAGACAACAGGTCTGTTACATTTGGACTAATCATTTGGGTAAACTGACTTGTACTTATTTCCCAAAAAGTTACTTGATGAGGAAGGAATTTTGCCCTATTAAGTGGCTAGATCCCCTATTCAAATTTTTCAGTCCTACAATTTTATGATAATGTAAGAATAATATTTACTACAACTAGGAATAGCGGTCACACTTCCCCAATATGGTGTTCTTATCGGAGCAGTGCCTATGTGACCTGGAATTGGTGGGCTTGTCTTTGGTACCCCTGTCATGTCAGATCATCACAGTCTGGTGGCAATGAATTTCTTGAGAAAGCAGGATCCTCAGAGAAGCAGGATCTATTAGGCTGGTCCAACCCTGGCAACTAATGGAACTGGATAGGTTTCAGAAAGAAGTGGGTTTAAACCTGCAGATCTGCTGCATAGTATTGCTCAATTTTTAGTGACTGCTTGGAATAGGAAGATGACTGAGGCTCTGGATAATGTCCATGTGACTTCTCCTAACCTGCATCCATGTGACCTCTCCTAACCCATAGACCTCTTTGTCCCCCATGGTATGCAGAGGAATTGAGAAGGATGAAATTAATAAAGAGACATCTAGAGTGCTACTGGCAGAAGAAAAGGGACCAACTCAATCAAACATAGGTGAGAGCTGCTATTAAGGCTATCTTGTAGCAATTTGAGTGGCTAAAGCATAAGTACTTCTCTGCATTAATTGCACCTGCAGATAATCAGCCAGCAATTCTCTTTAAGGTGAGCTATCTCCTTCTAAGGAAGGAGGATATAAAGGTCTGATGGGACATGCTGAGAATTTGCTGATTTTCTGGAAGACAATGTCATTTGTCTTCATTCTCAGTTAGATGCCAGCGTGGTTGCTGGTCTGGTGAAGGTACGTGGGGCAGGTTCTGGCCCAGTTATCTGGGAACAATTTGACCCTGCTGCTCCTGAAGAAGTGGACAGGATCCTAAGCAGCATGCGTGCAAGCATCTATGTTTTAGACTCAAGCCCCTCTTGGCTTGTGAAAACTTCTTGGGAGGTGACATGAAGGTGAGTTCTGGCAGTGATTAATGCTTCCTTTTGTGAGGGGATTGTGCCTCAGCATTTTAAGAAGACTGTGATCCGCCCTCTTCTTAAGATGCTGTTGCTAGATTCCACCCGGTTGGATAATTTTTGACCTGTCTCCAATTCTCCCTTTTGGAGAAAAGTTGTTGAGAAGGTGGTTGCATGATTGTTCCAGAAGTTCCTGGATTAAATGGATAATCTAGACCAGGTGTCAGCAACCTGCAGCTGTTGCCACCAGATGCAGGGAGGGAAGAACTGGAGCTCCTCCCTCCCTGCATCCGGTGGTAGCAGCTGCTCCTTCCCGTTCCCCTCCTTCCTGAGCCAACATGAAGGGGGCCACAGCTGGTGCTGAGCTGCCCGCGAAGAACACTGTGCAGTCTGGGCTGCCCCCTGCACAGTGAGGGCTCTCCTGCACTGCGCAGTGCAGCCCACTACTCACCTCACTGCGCAGTGGCGGCAGTGGGAGGAGTCATTGTCCCTGCCGCCACCATGATCCCAGCCCAAGAGGATATCCTGCTTGGGTACGTGCATGTGCGCAAGAGAGAGATGAGAGAAGAGAAAAGGAGAAAAAAAGAGAAGCAGAGCCAGCCACTAGTAGAGGAGGAGCAAAGAGGATCACCTCTATGATTTCTGCCCTTCGTTTGAGATCTGACAGAGTTGGTACTATCTGGTTCCTATTGCTTCAGCAACACAACTAATAGAACTCAGAAAGCAGTATTTATTTATTTAACAAAGGGAGGAAAGGAGAGAAAGAGGAGGGAGGGAGGAAGGGAGAGAAAGGGAGGGAGGGAGGAGAGAAAGAGAAGGGAGGGAGAGAAAGAGGAAAGAAGGAAGGAAAGAGAAGGGAGGGAGAAAGGAAGGAAGGAAAGAAAGAGAAGGAGGGAGGGAGGGAAGGTAAAATCAGAGGAGAGGGAAGGAGGGAAGGTAAAATCAGAGGAGGAGGAAGGAAGGGGAAAGGAGGGGAAAGGAAGGAAAAATCAGAGGAGGGGGAAGGAAGGAAGGTAAATTCAGAGTAGGGAAGGAAGAAAGGTGAACTCAGAGAAGGGGGAAGGAAAGTGAAATCAGGAGTGGGGAAGGAAGGAAGGTAAAATCAGGAGGGAAGCTGGAAGGAAGGAAGGAATTAGGATGTGAAGGGGGGATCATGTGACTGGGTGGGAGTGCATGACATCGGGTTGGCCACGCCCACCCAGGTTTTGTGGCTCCCGGAGTTTTGTTTTCTGTGGAAAATAGGTCCAAATGTCTCTTTGAGTGTTTAAGGTTGCTGACCTCTGATCTAGACCCTTTCTAGTCAGGGTACAGATCTGGATATGGGATGAAAATGGCATTGATCATGCTTTTTGATGATCTCTGACATGGGCGGGTTGGGGTGGTAAATCCATCCTTGCTTTACTTGACCCTTTGTCAACCTTTGATACCATCAACCATGGTATCCTTCTGGAGCAACTTCAGGGGTTGGGAGTGGTGGGGGCTCTGTGTTGTCCTGGTTCACTTTGTTTTTCTGTGGGCACTCTCAGAGCCTTGCATGGCTGAAAATATAGCCTCTCTTCAGCCTTGCATGGCTTGCATAGCCTCTCTTCAGCCTTGCATGGCTGAAAAAATGGAACCCAAAAATCAATTGGAAACAAGGCATCATAAAATTTCAGAAGAAGGTGACTTTTGCTGAGTATCCACATAAAGGAACTGAGGGGGCAGAGAATCGAGAAACAGCCATGCCAGATCACGCCACATCAACTGAGGGCATACCCATAGAATACAAGAATTTAGCTGAGGTTTTAGCGAAAAAGCCTCAGATGAGCTCCCCCCCCCCCACCGCGCCACTGACTGTGCAATAGAAATCATACCCGGCGTGAAACTCCCTAAACCCCAGATGTATAGCATGTCACCGAGGGAGTTGGAAGAGCTGAGAACATTCATTGAGAAAAACCTAGCAAGGAGTTTCATTGAGCCAGCCCGACCAAAATTTGCAGCTCCAGTACTCTTTAGAGAGAAAAAAGATGGCTCAAAACGTCTCTGTGTTGATTTTAGAAACCTCAATACTATCAGTGTGGAGAACATGTATCCTCTCCCCCTTATGAAAGATATGCTAGCACACCTTGCTAAAGGGAAAAAATTTTCAAAGCTGGACTTAAGGGAGGCTTACTACCATGTCAGAATTAAGGAAGGGGATGAGTGGAAAATGCCATTTAACACCCCCCTCGGCTGCTACCAATTCAAGGTGCTTCCCTTTGGGTTGCAAGGAGCTCCTGCAGTGTTTATGCAGTTAATAAATGAAGTGCTGCATCAGCATTTATATAAGGGGGTCCTGGTCTACTTGGACGACATTTTAATCTATACTGCGACCAAAGCAGAACATGTAAAACTAGTCAGGGCAGGTTTAAACAAACTCCACTCTGCCAAACTTTATGCCAAACTTTCCAAATGTGAATTCCACCAGGAGAAGATTGACTATTTGGGATACCGCATTTCACACCAGGGAGTTGAGATGGATCCTCTAAAAGTGCAGGCTGTACTTGATTGGGACCCTCCACGCACACGTAAACAGTTACAGAGCTTCCTGGGGTTTGCCAACTTTTACCGCCAGTTTATCCCTGCTTTCGCTCAGATTGCCCTCCCCATCACCAAGCTCTTAAAAACGAAGGGGGAGGACAATCCTAAACCAAAGCAGCCATTGAACTGGACTATGGAATGCCAGGCGGCATTTGAAAAACTTAAAGGACTGTTCTCAGCAGAACCAATTCTAAAACACCTAGACACAGAGAAACCATTTGTTATACAAGCAGATGCCAGCAATGTGGCAATAGGAGTGGTCCTGCTTCAGAAGAATGAGCAAGACCAACTACAACCCTGCACTTACACATCCAAAAAGTTGAATGAGACTGAGCAAAGGTGGGCCATTTGGGAGAAAGAGGCTTATGCAGTTCGTTGGGCATTGTTAACCTGGAGGCACTTCCTAGAAGGTAGTAAGACCCCTTTTGAAGTCTGGATTGATCATAAAAATCTAGAAGTCCTAAAGACCCCAAGGAAACTCTCCCCAAAACAAGTACAATGTGCTCAGTACTTTAAACGGTTTGATTTTACTCTAAAATACCTCCCGGGGGGGGACTTTCTGGCGGATGCGCTATCCAGAAAACTGCAATACAATAGTGCAAAGTCAGACGTAATCAAACCTATAGTACAAAACAATCAACTAGCCGCTAAAGTAGTCACCAGATCCCAGGCAAAACAAGAAACATTGACGGACAATGACACCATCCAAACTTTTAAACAAGCATTGGCCACTGATGAATGGTTTTTGAACAATAAATCCAGCTGTCTGATGAAAGAAGACTTGGCTTGGGGGGGGGGAAGCCAAAGACTATGCTTAATGGTATGGTGCCATGACTCCAAATTAGCTGGACATTTTGGGTTTGTGAAAACTTTACACCTGAATAAAAGACAATTTTGGTGGCCATCACTAAAAAAGGACATAGAAAGCTATGTAGCTAGTTGCCCCATTTGTGCAGCAGCAAAAGGACGCCAGGGAAAATCCCCAGGTCTATTGCAGAAGGTAGCTGAAACTTCAGCGCCTTGAAGAGAGATCGCTATGGATTTCATTGTGGAATTGCCAAACAGTGAGGGAAATACTGTTATTTGGGTTGTGACAGACCTATTTTCAAAACAGGCACATTTTATACCCTGCTAAAAGATCCCAACTGCTAAAAGTTTAGCCAAATTATTCCTAATACACATTTATCAACTTCATGGTACTCCACAAAGGATCATCTCCAACAGAGGGGCTCAATTCACCTCCAATTTTTGGAGGGCGTTTTTGGGCTTACTTGGTACTGGCCAGGGGTTGAGCACATCCTTTCATTCTTGTATTAATGGTAATTCTGAAATTTTGAACTCGGTGCTAGAACAATATTTAAGATGTTTCATTAATTTTCAACAGGATAAGTGGACCGAACTTTTGCCTTTTGTTGAAGTTGTGTTTAATAATGCTGTCCATTCAAGCACTGGTTTTACCCCTTTTAGAGTAGCAACAGGCCAGGATTTCAGTCCCATGTCTGAATTACCCACGGAAGAACCCACCATCCCCTCACTTAAGGAGTGGATGGATAATTTGCAAAACATGTGGCCAGTGGTTAGATTAGCCTTACAGGAAGCTAGAGAAGTTTTTAAGATTCAAGCTGACAAGAAAAGGATGGAACCCAAACCTTTTCATGTTGGAGACAGAGTATACTTATCTACAAAATTCCTGAAATCATTACAACCATCGAAAAAACTAGGGCCAAAGTTCATTGGACCTTTCCCCATCACTAGAATCATCAATCCAGTAGCAGTTGAACTACTCCTTCCAAAGACACTCAGGCAAATCCACCCAGTATTTCATATTAGTTTACTCAAACGAGAAATAATCTCATCCCTCAGACCACTTGCATCTACACCACCTGTTCCCATCATGATTGAAGGTGAACAACACTTTGAAATCAAGGAAATCCTTGACTCTAGGATCTACAGAGGGAAAGTCCAATACTTAGTTGCTTGAAAACATTTACCATCAGCACACAATGAATGGGTCGCTAAACACCATGTTAGGGCTCCAATCTTACTGAGACAATTTCACTCCCAATACCCTAACAAACCTTGTTGATATACTATCATGAAATCTTGAAATCTTGTGTATATTTGTTTTTTTTTTACAGGTGGACCCTTTTGTTTTCTAAGGAGGGTAGCATGTCAGATCCCTAAAAGTGATACTGCCATTCAAGTGGAGGAAGGGGGAGACTTGGATTCGATTTACTAGCATTGCCTGTGTCATCAGATATTTTACAACCTATATCCTGGCACCAAGGAGGCCTGAGATTCCCTTTACCTGCAGGAATTTATATGATAGCCATGTGGGTTGTCTCACTTTAAAGGGTAGTGGTGGGAAGGCATGTTTGTTCGGGTTCTCAAAGGAAATAGTAAAGAAAACATCTTCACACTTGTGTATTGGCTAAAATCTGCATTCTGACTTAAAGGGAGGGGTCTCTACCACTTTAATCCTACTGCTTTGCCTAAGGGCATTCAGATTGTGCTTTAGCTGGATGGCTGTCACTTCTGCTTAATAAAAGAATCCTTTTAAACAACCACGTTTCAAGAGTTTGTACTTTCTTAAGTTGGAAGGAGAGGCGATCCTTACACGCCAACATGATCGCCAACATCCAATGATGGATATGGCACAAGAAGAAGAAAATACAAGTCATCTGGGGGGCATCTGATGGGGAAAGGCTGCCTTGCAATATCTGTGGAGCTCATTTGCTAAATGGACATTGACAATGAACCCCACATGTCAGCATGTGTTATGCCCAACCATAACTAAATGTTTAGGAGGAAGTCATCTTTCAGTAACGTTAGTTTTAGTGGAACTGAAGAAGATAGAAACTCTATTCCCCTCTTAATAAAGATTTAATTATTCATTTGGTAATCTTTAGTTTTAACAGTTCAAAAGCATAGATAAGAATGCATAGTCAAAATTTATAGAATATTTTGATGCACACCTAAGTTTCTTCTTTGATGTACACAATACAGTTTAACTGAAATAAAATGGAATAAGAATCCTCAATAGATCCATTGAGATTATGCATGAATTCCAAGCTTTGCAAGACATAATTTATTTTTATACAAAAGCCACATGTTAATTGTCAGTATAGAAGAAACGATGGTTTGTTTCTTTTAATTCCAAAGTAACTCTTACTCTTCTTCTTTAACAAAAATGTTTCCTCCTTTTTTATGTAATGTTATCAATTTATAACACTGGATAACGACATTATGATTAATATTACTATGGCTTGTTATTCAGAATTTATTCAAGGTTTTAAACTATAACTTGATAAAATGCATTGGTATTTGTAGACCTTGGTTGTTCCTTAGTTAAAATGTGAGTAGCAAAAAAGGAATAAATAAATAATCCCAGTATTTGTTCAAACATAAGAGCAGTTAACCAAATCCTAAATTGCAACTGCTGTAAAATGCTAGAGAAGAAAAATAAATTTCAAGACCTTTCAAGCCTCCAATGCAGTCTTTAACCTGGAAACAGGATCCTTCTTCACCAGTAAAACTACAGTAATTCTTCCAATTAGGGAACCTTACAATGTGATTAGAAGAGTAACCAAGGATGAAATAGCAATACCAGTACAGACAAACTTTGCTAAATTGCATTTATGCTAGTGCAACATATTGAAACTTACCCAGAAAAAGGGCAATGCCAAGCACGACCGTGCTACTCACAAACACACCGAGGGATAATTTGAGAAGTTTTCTGGAAGCTCTCTTGTTAGCTGGAACGGACCTCCCTGTTGTCTCTCCTTCCATCAGGATAGATTTTCACAATTCTCTGAAAAAAAGTCCCTGTTTTTCGTTCTTCTGCTGTTTGTTACTGTTCACTTACAGTCCCATGCACGAATCCCTTCTTCAAATCTTTTATCATTGAGTATTTCAGCAACTAACACTACAGTCAAAACTCATTTCCAAATCTTTAACTCTTTCCAAAAGTGGGGGGGGGGGAGAAAAAACATAAAATGCAATATTAAATTTCTCCCTTGACCAGGGCTTGGAAAGGCACACAGTGACAATTTAATTTGTAGCTCTTTTCTTTGCAAGCAGGACAATTTTTGTCAACAGTGCAGGGCAAAAAAAATTAAGTGTTGTCCCAATGTATGGTTTCACCATTAAAATTTATAACAGTTTTTAAAAAATGTTTTCCAATCAAAAACTAGATTTCTGTTAAAACTTTGCAGACATTAGATTGATAAGAATATTGGTAAGCAATTTGATTTTCTGCTGAATCTCATTCATTTTCACTCTAGCTGCTGCATCATTTTCCTTTACAGAATAAATCTTCTCCAACTACAACTCCTTTTAAAGCTCCAAGGGATGACTTACACTGTTTTTATTTTAGGAGATTTGTTTATGGCATCAAGTGCCAAAGATCAGAGTCATGCTTATGTGGAAAGCAAACTTGTTATTAAAACAACCTACAGATGGGATTTTTTTTAAAGGAAAAAGAACAAGTTATTTTTCAGAGCCTGTGGAGTTTCTGAAGGTTCTATGCAAACATTGTGCAAGAATAAAGCTGCAATAAAGTGCTTTTATGAAGGCAGGAGAGACAAAATGTATTAAATAATTATATTGTACCTGGTTGAAGGTTGATATGCTACAAATGTAGAGTTTGCACTTTCAAAAGCTGGGAACAATTCATTTAGAAGAGATTCAAAGTAATTTGATTAAAACTTAAAAATGACAGACCGAAAACTGACCAAAAGTGACTGAAAGTCACTTTCTTCTATTATTTGTCATGTTTAAATATAGATTGGATTGAAAGCATCACCTAATTTGATTTGTCTGCTTTAGCAACTATATAGTGAGATAATTACAATCTGAGGTAATTTGAGGTTATTTTCTATGCTGTATTGTTGTTGATTCCTTGTATCAGCTTCTACTCTTTTTATGTACTTCTTGTCTTTTTATGTACACTGAGAGCATATGCATCAAAGACAAATTCTTGTGTGTCCAATCACATTTGGCCAATAAAGAATTCTATTCTGTTATGTTATGTTATGTTATGTTATGTTATGTTATGTTATGTTATGTTATGTTATGTTCTATTTCTTTTTCTATTCCTATTTCTATTCTACTACAGTTATTGCAGGGCAAAGTATGGTTTATTCTTAACTGGCTTGAGTGCTTCAGAGGAAATATATGAATTTAAATTAAAAAACAAAACAAAACCAAGTACACAAATCTTATCTATTCCAAGACTGAAGCTTGGCATTGAAAGGTGGTTGCAGAATTCAACATGAATTCAAAGTAAAAACCTGCTTATGCCAAAATCCAGTACTACCATCCTTTGGTCCTAGAGCTTTTAGCAACATATTGTTGGTAAGAGAAAAAATAGGGAAAAGGAAGGGGACGTTCTTTTTAAAACATTTATTGCTGTCAAGCAAATTGCTTTGCTGTGTCTCCTCTACTAAATGACCTTGGATTTCATGTCTTATATTATTATTCTATTTGCAGAAATTACTATCATTTTGCCTTTCTGCTCTGTTTCTTTCTTGTATTTACTGAAAATTTACTTTTATACATTTATTGTAAATCTGCCAGTAGCTCTTGATAAAATTATTCCGACACCCACCCCACCCCCACCCCACCCATCTTCTGAAAATTCAAGTGCTGGAGCCAGGGGTGAAATCCAGCAGGTTCTGGAGAACTGGTAGCGGAAATTTTGAGTAGTTCGGAGAACCGGCAAATACCACCTCTGGCTGGCCCCAGAGTGGGAAGGGAATGGGGATTTTGCAGTATCCTTCCCCTGGAGTGGGGTGGGAATAGAGATTTTGCAGTATGCTATTGGGGGGCCAGAGTCCCGTCAGGGTGTGTGCAGACAACTGGCAACTCAAACCTTAACCATAACTGGCAGTGGCAGCATGCAGAAATCTCAGAAGGTGCGGGGGGGGCATGCAACTGACGGCAGTGACGGCGTGCAGCAACGATCGTAGGGGGTGCAGGGAGGGTGAGCTGGGCAACTGGCGACAGTGGCAGCAGCATGCAGAAGAGATTGGCAGGGAATCTAAATAAAGCCTCTGAATTATTTCTGGGTAAAAAATTAGGCCGAAGCCTGCCATGCCTGTGGTTTGCTCTCCCTCCACAGCATGGGCGCCACACAGATCCCCAAATGCAGCAGCAGTGGCTTGCCCCATTTTAATGGTAGAAAACCTCTCCTAACTCAATTTTGTCTTTAAAAGACACGGCAAGAGCTGAATCTAAGCTTCCAACCTGTAGTTATTGCTCAAAATTGATTGCTTCTGCATGCCGCTGCCACCACTGCCAGTTGCCTAGCGCACTGTCCCGTGAATGCTTCTGCATGCTGCCATCACCACTGCCAGTTGCACACACACACCCCACGATAGTTTTTGCATGCCATCGCTGCGAGTTAGGGTTTGGATTGCCAGTTGCCAACAGCCCCCATGCTGCCACGCTGGCCCAACAGCCTGCTGCAGATCACTCACTGCCACCTACTCCCATTGCCTGGTGGCTTCTTGTCCCATGCAGCCAAAGGCCTGGGTCAAATGGTGTCTGGGCGAATGGGCAGGGATGAAGGGTGAGAGGCAGGGAGCCAGGGCCCATTGCCCATGGAGAGTGATTGTGGGAGGACCAATGGAGGAGGAAAGCTGGCTGTAAATCGGCTGAGGTGGGTGGGTGGGAGCAAAGGAGGCACGGCCAATGGTAGACACCTATATGTTCCATTCCAATAGTTTTTGTTCCTAATTTTAAGGCAGTCCTACTGTAAGGTAGTCCTAAACACAGATATTTCTAAGTCTTAAGCAAAAAAGCCCTCAAAAATATTAAACACTATCTGAGGATTTGTTTAGGCAGTTTACTTAATGACTTATTCCCTCAATGACAGAGATTGAGAGATGCTACATTCACAAAGGTATTTCCAGTATTATCACGGACAGTATAATCTAATTTTGTTGCTCTGGTCCATTATGTCCAAAGCTCACTTTCCAGATGACAGACAAGTTTTTAATATAAAATGAATGTGCTGAACGTGCTACTGGAATTAGCAATTCCTAACAGCTTCTGAAGTGTTCTAAGATTGTGCAAGAAACAGTTTCTTAAAGCCAAGAAAGGACTTAATGTTACAACCCGACACTTTCTGCTAAGAACAATACAGATATTTATATATTGTCAGTTTTAAGCAGCACAATTTTTCCCAAACCAACCTGTGTAATTCAGAAATAAAATATACCACTATGTATAACTGGAATAGTCAAAGTACTTGTATTAAAATTTTTAGTAACCGTGCAAAAAAACCAAACAAAAAACATTTGCTTCTCAGCTAACAAAGACTATTTGTAATATTCTATCAATTAGCTATCCATATGAGCCTTAGGAGTAAGTTCTCTATTGTGGTTGACTATGCTGGATCATTAGTGAAGATATTTCAGTTATTCAAATCTAAGCTGGTCAAGGATAAATGGCTTATGAAATTAAACAGTAAACCAATTAGTTCCCAAAATGGTTGTTCTTTAAATAAAAGACAAAAATATATTGCTCTGATATAATATTACAGAATGGATTCTATTGCATAAAATACAAAAAAGCATGTTTATTTTTGTTTGCTGAAAAATTCTTTTGTTTGACACAGCTTGATAGTGTAACCTCCAGAATGTCAACTAGCAGGACAAAGTAATCTGTTAAAAATCTGAATTTACTGAAGTGCTTCAGTCAACTGAATGACTATCAGAGCTTCTTCAGCTCTGACTGGATGGTGGGGAATGGATTTATATATCTTGCAGACAGCTGGTCATTTGCATTCTTTTAGCGGATCGTTAAGATCATCTGGAGGTTTATCAGTGTCATCAGGGTCACCTGAGTGGTGCAAATTGGTATGGAGCCTTCTTGGAACTGTTGAAAGTACTGTAGATTGGAGATGGATGATGTCATATCTCTCCCCCACTTTTGAGAGAGGGCTGTTCAGTTTTGATATAGATGGCCTCTTTAACCCCTTTCAAACCAGCAATCCTGTCCAAAATATGGACTTTGTTGTCTTCAAAAAAGTGGCCTATGTCTTTTAAATGCAGATGGACTGCTGAATCTAGTCCTGATGAGTTTGTTCTTGTATGTTGTGCCATGAGTTTATTACCATATTTTTCGAGTATAAGACACTCCGGAGTATATAAGACACTCCCAGACTCATTGTTCTGGGAGACTTTAATTTGCCTTCCCTGGGTGGGGCGTCGGGGGCGGCCCGGAAGTTCATGGCCTCCATAGCGGCCATGGACCTGACTCAGATAATTCAGGGCCCGACTGATGGGGGGGACACGCACCCGATCTAGTCTTTATTTTGGGACAGTGGCGTGATGAGTTCAGTGGGGGAATACCAGTCATTCATCCCCTTTCATGGACCGATCATTATCTCCTCCGGTTGGGCTTCCATTATGCCACTTCTCGCTGCTGGGATGCAGGACCGACCAACTGTACCAAGAGCCTTGGTACTACAGTGGTTTAAAGCACCCTGTTATTAACACAGCTGCCTGCAATTTACTGCTGGTTCGAATCTCTCCAAGGCTCAAGGTTGACTCAGCCTTCCATCCTTTCTAAAGGTAGGTTAAATGAGGACCCAGTTTGTGGGGGCAATAAGCTGACTTTGTATAAATATACAAAAGTATGAAGGCTATTGCTTAACGCACTGTAAGCCGCCCTGAGTCTCCGGAGAAGGGCGGCATATAAATCAAATTAAAAAAAAAAAAAAAACTGGTTCTGCCCCAGGCGCCTGATGGACCCTAATAGGTTCCAGATGGAGCTTGGGACGATACCTGCCTCCCTCTCCCATGCCCCGGTTGAGACCCTGGTGGATGCCTGGGAAATGGCGGCCACCAGGGCTCTCGACCGTGTCGTGCCTTTGCGACCTCTGACCCGGTACAGATCCCGGTTGGCCCCTTGGTTTACTGAGGAGCTCTGGGAGTTGAAGCGCCAGAGAAGAGGCCTAGAGAGCTGCTGGAGATCCAGTCGATCCGAATCAGACCGTGCACAGCTAAGATCTTTTATGAGGTTTTATCTTGTGACGATGGAGGCAGCAAAGCGTTCCTAGTTCTCTGCCTCATCGCGTCCGCAGACAATTATCCGGCCGCCCTGTTTAATAATAATAATAATAATAATAATAATAATAATAATAATAATAATAATAATAATAATAATAATAAGAAGAAGAAGAAGAAGAAGAAGAAGAAGAAGAAGAAGAAGAAGAAGGAAGAAGAAAAGAAGAAGAAGAAGAAGAAGAAGAAGAAGAAGAAGAAGAAGACTGACAGGCACTTGATCCACAACACACCTGACATAACAATAGTTGAAAAGAAAAAAGTATGGTTCATTGACATTGCAATACCTGGTGATGCACGAATTGAAGATAAGCAGCAAGAAAAAATCACAAAGTACCGGGACTTACACAAATTGAAGTTGAGCGACTGTGGAAAAAGAAATCGTGTGTTGTCCCGATTGTAATTGGAGCCCTCGGAGCAATACCCAAAGGGCTACCCCGCTATTTAGAAATTCTAAATTTGCCGGACTTGAACATTTTGACTCTACAAAAAACCACCTTACTCGGAACAGCTTACATCCTCCGACGATACCTTAACAGTTCCTAGGTCCTTGGTTAGGACTCGAGCTGCTGAGCTATTAACCAGCCTCAAAGGCTGTGAATCTCACTAAAGATTAACCAATAAATAATAATAATAATAATAATAATAATAATAATAATAATAATAATAGTTATTATTATTATTATTATCATTATTATTATTATCATTATTATTATTATTATTATTATATTTCTATACTGCCCTTCTCCCGAAGGACTCAGGGCGGTGTACAGCCAATTTAAAAACACAGGACACAATGATTAAAAATTAAAATAATTAAATAAATTTGGCTGATTTAAAACCCCAAAAATTAAAATACCCCAATTTAAAATTATTATATTGATAGCCCTGCCTGGCGGAACAACAGGGTCTTCAGTGTGCAGCGAAACACCCGGAGGTCGGAGATCTTACGTATTTCCGGGGGCAGTTCATTCCACAGGGCTGGGGCTCCCACAGAGAAGGCCCTCCCCCGGGGTGTCGCCAGCCGACATAACTTGGCTGATGGCACTCTGAGGAGACCCTCTCTGTGGGAACGGACTGGTCGGTGGGAGGCTATTGGTGGCAGAAGACAG